GAATCATAATAAAAGCATTTAAAATAAATACCACACACAGTTGAGGAAACGTTGGTTTAAGTACCTGATATGAAGCGGTCGCTGCATAAGCGAAACCCTTTACTCTCGGGATCCCACAGCTTCATTTTCGCCCGGTCACTAGCGCGTTTTATTACAATGATCCAACGTTTGCGGCGCTCCGGATCTTGGGGAATCCTGTAGAAGGCTCATTCCTTATGTCGTCCGCGTCTGTTCTGCATCCTGGGGCACAACAGGAATCTACCATATTTCCCGTTTGATTGAGTTTTCTGACAATAACAAATAGTCCAGCTGCCGGCTTCTGCATGCCAATATGGCGCCGTTTCGATTTGAACTGTTGCATGCCAGGAGAAGTGACGTCAACTCCCGGAGCTCTGTTGAAGTGGCTCGGGCATCTAGTCAGGATGCCTCCTGGACGCCTCCCTGGTGAGGTTTTCCGGGCACATCCAACCAGGAGGAGACCTAAAGATAGACCCAGGACACGGTGGAGGGACTATGTCTCTCACCTGGCCAGGGAACGCCTTGGGATCCCCCCGGAGGAGCTGGCCCAAGTGGCTGGGGAGAGGGAAGTCTGGACCTCTCGCCTTAGGCTACTGCCCCTGTGACCCGACTCCGGATAAGTGGATGAAAATGGATGGATGGATGGATGGATGGATGGATGGATGGATGGATGGATGGATGGATGGATGAATGGATGGATGGATGGATGGATGGATGGATGGATGGAGTTTAAATAACTTATTTCCCTGAAAAAGTTGCAGTAACTGACTTCCATGAAGTTCACTTTACTCAAAAGTGACAAACTTAATTACTAACTCTGCAGATTTGAGTTCACGACCTTTATTTCAGTGTTCCAAGTGTTACTTAAACATCATATTTTTGTTAAAAATACTTAACCCCGATAGTCAATGCAAGGACGAAGAGATCCGTCTTTTTTGGCGACAAAGAAAAACCTACCCCCAGGGGTGAGGTCGAGGGTCTGATGGTACAGTTCGCCAAAGCCTCTGTAATGCAGGTCTGTATGCTATCTCGCTCTGGTTTTGAGAGGCTGTAGAGGCGGCTGGACGGAAGCGGGGCACCCAGTGGCAGGTCGATTCCACAATCGAAGGGGCGGTGAGGAGGCAGCGTGGCAGCTCGGTCCCTGCTGAACACCTGTTGCAGGTCATGATACACAGGGGGTACCTGGGAGTGATCGGGAGAATCAGTTGGCGTCACGCCGGAGTCCTTATACACGGGAGGTGCCGAGTTGAGGCATGTCTGGTGATACTCCGGACTCCAGGTCTCAATTCTGCTGGCTCGCCAGTCCAAGAGCGGGTTGTGTAATTTGAGCCAAGAATGACCTAGCACCACTGGATTCTGCAGGGATGGGAATACAAATAATAAGAGTGTCTCTGTGTGGTTACCTGAGACCTGGAGCTGGAGTGGCATGGTCCTGTGTGTGATGGTAGACAGTACTCTTCCATCCAGCGAGGAAACAGGCACTGGCTCGGGGAGAGGCTCAGTCAAAATTCCCCATTCACAGACCACTCGGGGGTCCACCAGCGACTGCTCACACCCCGAATCAACAAGAGCAGTAGTCTGGTGGCGTTGATTGTTCCAAGTCACAGAACATGCGATGAGGAACTGGGAGGTTGTATTTCCTGCGTTACTGCCCACCAGGACTCCCGGTCCTACTGGTGGGCTCGACCTTTTAGCAACGCCGGGCATGTCTGAATAAAATGTCCGGGTTGTCCACAGTACAGACAGAGACCTTTACTGAAGCGCTGCCGCCGTTCCTCCTCAGTCAGGTGGGCTCTTCCCAGCTGCACTGGCTCCTCCGATGGCTCCGAATGAGGAGGTCTAGGGATAGGTCGACGATGTGCAGGAGGCGGCGAAAGATCCATCGCTGACGTCCTCTGAAGCTCCCAATGTCTCTTGTCGATGGAAATAGAGAGCGATATTAATCCATCCAGGGTGGGTGGCTCGGGGCACAGAGCCAGCTGATTCTTGACTCGGTCACTCAAGGCTTAAATAAAGGCCGCCTTTAAGGCATCGTCATTCCATGATGTCATGGCCGTCAAAGTCCTGAATTCCAACGACATGTCTGCCACCGTTCTCTGTCCCTGGGAGAGGTGCAAAAGTATCTTACGGATGTCGGTGGTGATCTGGGAATTGCAGAAAGTCAATTTAAATTCATCCAAAAAGTCTGCATAGGGACCAGACAAAAATTCAGCGTTCGGGCTCTTAGCCTCTGCCCACCTAAGAGCCTTGCCCCTCAACAGTCCAGCGATAAAAGAAATCTTAGAAGAGTCCGTAATAAAAGTGCTTGGAGAGCACTCAAACGCTAGGCGGCACTGCAGTAAAAATCCAAAACAGCCCTCGAACTCACCCGAGAACGTAGGACATGGCAGGGGTGGAGCTGGGCGGAAGTGGGTGACTTCCGTAGGACTGAGAATCTCCAGTCTGGGCAGACCCATTGCTCCTGGGGCTCGTTGCATTGGTTCCGGACCTGAAGCGGAAGTTGCGGCTGGAGCTGGAGCTGGAAATCGCTCGTGAAGCTGTTAGACCATAGCCTCCAAATGCTGGTAGCGCTGGTTAGCGACGGTAAACTGCTCTATGAGCATGGGAAGAGTCTGCTCCTGCTGGGACATCCTGGTGGCCAGATCAGCGAGTACTGATTCCGCTGAGTTCTGGTTCTGGCCGAATGATTCTGTCATGACTCGAGGAAGGCGTTTAACCTAAGACATGCAGAATCGACTTGACACCACAGGGTAAGTTGAACCAAAGTTCTTTATTTAAAACCGGGAACAAAAATAGCACTGGGAAGTCCAGTGGAGGGTGTGCCGTAAGGTGTTAGTCCATATATGGGCCATTCCCATCTGTACCGGGTCGGCCCGGGCCGGGTAGCGTAGGTTGTTTACATATCTGGGTGGCCTGGTATTTTTCCGGGCCAACCAAGGCTCATTCTCAGCCCTCTTCTCGAGGGGGTCTGCTTCAGGCCGACCAGGGCCAACACGCCCACTGCTGACAGCAAATTCACACCTTCCATTAGATCAAGCCTCTGATTGGTGGGTAGAATCAGCCCACATGGGCTTAAGACAAGGATGTGTGGAATCAACCGGGCCAGGCTGGGGCCGACTGGGGCTACCCGGCCCCAGCCTGGCCCGGTAAAGATGGGAATGGCCCATTAGTTATCCGTGATGTGCGAGCAAGGTGGAGAGCCAAGGTGAGTAGCGGTGGAGGACCGGCTGGCCGAGGTGGGTGAGGCAGCGGAGAGAACCAAGGCAGGCGCAGTGGAGGAGGATGGGACATGGTTCTGGTGATCCGGGGTTCGAGTGGCGAGGGTAATGAATGAAGTAGAGTTTTCGTGAACAGAGCAAGCAAACAGGGGTTCAGAGGAGAATCCAAAAACGTAATCTAAAAACAGTCCATAGTCATAAATCCAAATAATCCACTAAACGAATTCAAGCGAGCAAACAAACACGAGTGGCTGGGGTGACCTAAACTGGAGTAATCATCTGGCGTAAAGTGGTGTCTCCATCCTCCCTTTATACCAGACTCCTGATTGGAAATCCAGTGCAGCTGCTGTCCCCCCGCTCCTCACCTGTGGGAAATTAACTCAAAGGTGGTTAGTGGGAGAGGAGCAATCACCTCGGCTTGTGAACATGACACCCTCAAGCTCCCAGGCCTCTGGTAGAGGGCCCGAGCTTGGAAGGATGAGACCACCCACAGAGGGCGAGATGGGAATTTTTAAAATATATAAAAAATTACACTACCCCCCCCCCCCCCCCCCAGAGCTCAGCAGTTTTTATGAATTTTCAGCGCTGTGTGAAATGTTCTCAGCTTATTCCATGAAAGCAAAATATTTCAGTGATCTCCTTCTAACCAGAGTTCATGTGGTCCCTTTGAAAACAAGTCAAAATCACTTAAATCTTCATTTCCCACTTTCATATCCAAATATGGTCACTTCCTGTTACATAAAGCTCCTGACAAGGCTGAACCACAACCTCAGCATGTTAACCAGTGGCTGGTGTCATGTTGTTTCATCTGCAGCATTTGGAGGAGGTTATTGGCAGGACAGAGGCTTTACTGCCTCTGGATCTGTGCTTAGACAAAGTAAATTTTGTATGAAGGTAATGTGTGCAGCTGAAAAAGGGGCTGCAAAGAAACTGATCAGTCTTATGGATGAAGAACAGGCAGCTTCATATGATACTTGAGATGTTTCTTTTGCACAAAAACAACAACAAAAGTAAACCATACAATTACTGCAAATGGTCAAGATCATTCCTGCCATCAAAAGTAAAAGATTTCTAGTTGTGGCTTTACTGTAATTAATAAGTACAGTAATGTGAAAAAAGCACATTTATTTTCTCATCAGTGATAGTTAATCAAAGCATTCTCTGGGGAATGGCTGTTACAGACTCATGTAAATGACTCTCAGCCAATAGCACGACAGATTCCAGCTCAATATCTGTAAAACTGAGCGAGTTTGAGCTAAGGTCGTGTACCTACAGCCATCTTGAATGGGGCTGGCTCCAATAGTAAACCAGTTCCAGACATTAGTCTGACCCTTTCATTGATCCTGTTCAGTGGTTCATGACTACTCTTGTTCTTTTTCTTTTCTATTCTAACACAAAGAAGTGTCTTTTGTGAACTTGTTAGTCGGGAAACCAATTTTAAGGAGATTTTTTGTTAGATCTTTGGAAAATTTGACTTATGAGGTTTCAGTAGAACTCATCACAGATCATGTAAGCCAAATGGAGACACAGCAGCCTAACGTTTAGTGGTCAATGCAACAGAGCCTTAAGATAAAACACTCTGTAGATAATAAGTGTGTCATAATTACTCCTTTATCCTGTTACAGGAATTGTGAAGAATGTAAATTTGAACTCAGTCCCAGTTCCCTCCCAGAACTAACCTCAAGGGGTGAATCAGTCCCAGTTTCATGTACTAAAACACAAAGCTGCACATAGAAGAGCAACGGCAAGAATGAGACACACATCTGGGTGTAACAACCTTTATTGAAGGAGCTCTTTCAACGCTACTGAGGCTGTTCATCCTCAGGCAAAAATATCAAACAGCACGGGTGGAGGCTGATACACTCAGAATAATAGCACCACAGAAGAACACTCCAACCAACCCCGGTGAAACTGTTGTATAAAACGTGTTGGCTCATGAGTTCCTTCAGCTTCCCCTTCCAACTTTTAGCCATGACAGGGATTTTCCTAAATCACTCACAAATGGCAAAGATGTGTGTGTGTGTGTTCAAGTTTTTTTCTGCTTAAATTAAGCGTCTTTACTGCAGACAAAAAAGGGTTTGTGTTATTTTGGTAATTGACCCCTACAAAACTGCTTAACAATCACTCCAAGGTTTCACACATGTTCTTGTATTTTATGCACGCACACAAACACACACATACGCACGCACATCACACACACTCAGGACTCACACATGCTGAGTCCAGGTGAAACGTTGGTGTGATTTATCTGGAGGTTTGCCTGGTGCCACATCCTGGTTTCCTCGTTGCCGTGGTGATCTAACGGGGCTTTAGGCGCAGGTTTTCTCAGACTCAGAAAAACTATATCATTTTTTTTATTTTCAACATAATCCATGTTGGCAAAACTTAAAGTGATAAACCAGTCAGGAACCAGTTTTCTGTTCGTGCTAGTGCAGGGAGAAGTGTGTGTTTCTGTGCTGCGGTGCCTCTTTATTTAGTACTGCTGCAACACAACACATCCAACACCACTTAAATAAGTGGCAAAAGAAACAAATGGATCCATGCTGAACCAGAACCAGCACTGGCTTTGGTCCTGGAGAGACAGGAAGTGACAGGAAGCTTCACTCGTCGGATGGAGAAAGTTTGATACAGAAACGGAGAGTACCTGGGAGGAAACGGATCCCGAATGAGACCATTACAACTTTCTGTCTCTCCAGCATCAAAGTTTCCTGTTCTAGAGCGGGACTTTTTTCACCCTGAATCTTACCTGAAGGCAGGATCTATCTCCTGAGTTTTAATCAGATTTATTGTGCTGTGGTGGTGAGTCTGAGATGGGCTGCCCTCGAGGTTCAATTTAAAGTAAAAACAAGTCCTTTTAGAGAGACATGTACATTTGTTTGTTGTTTTGTGACATTTCCTTTGGTTTTCTGGTAACTGGACACATTGTAAATGAGTGAGACTGAATATTCATAATAGGTCTAAAAAAATCAAATTGATGGTCCTTTTGTTTGTTTTTACGGCAAAGAGACCCTGCGGGTGACGGTTTGGTGGAAGACCCCACGGAGCAGAGAGGGGTAGTCTGGGACGCGGAACAGGTGGCGCTGGGCGTAGCTGATGTCATCCTGTCGCCCCCTGCTCACCAGTAAGCGCAGGTTGCCTTCGCTGACCTGGCTGCCAGCTGAAATGACAAAGAGCTGGATGCCGGCGTCTGCCACCTCACGAACTCGCTTCTCCAGGACAGACTCTGTGACTCGCTGAGACCTGCCGTCTGAAAACAGCACCAGCTTCTTACTGCCTCCAGACGAGTCCCCTCGGCCGCGTAGATTAGAGACAGCAAAGGACAGAGCCTCTAAAAGGTTGGTGCCAAGGTTCTGGAAGGCTGCCTCTTCAATGCGAGAAGACAGGATGGTCAGATTGGCGGTTGGAGCCTGCTCCATGCGGGGGCTTTCGCTGTACTGGGCCACGCCCACTCTGATTCTGGCATTTCCTTTCTTCTCGGCTGAAAGGAATCGCTCAGCCAGGCGCTTGACAAAGGTCTTGCTTATCTCAAAGTTCTTCTGGCCAACGCTGGCGGAGCTGTCCATCATCACCAAAATATCAGCGGGCTCAGAGAAAGAGACTGAAACATAAAAACAAACATAGGCTCACAGAACATTAGACAATAAGTCAAAGTTTAAACCAAAAACGTGAGATAAGGACAGTTTGGCCAAAAATCACTCTCATCAGAAATTAAACGCTGAACCAAATTCAGACTTACTTGGACATTTGTAGTCTGGACATTTCTTCTCTGCAAAAGAAAACATCCAGAGACAAATGAGCTAAACTGGACTTCACAATAAAGTAAAAGAACAAATAACCTGAGCAGTGATGTGGGAGCTGCGTTTTACCTTGACAGATCTTAGCCGTGAGATTCTGAAGGAAACTGTCATCCAGCAGCTCAGCAAAGTTCTCCAGCACGAAGGAGAACCCTGGTTTTCTGTCGCTCTCACATGTCACCAACTTAAGCTGCTCCTGGTTGGGCTGGCGGCCCGAATAGTCCTTCACTCCCAAACCCCCCACCTGGAGACGAGGCAGGAGAGTTTTAGTTTGAAGAGCATTAAATAAAAGTTTACAGCGACCTTCTGGCTCACCGTGAGGTCCTTCCCACAGAGGACGTTGAGGGGAACTGTGTCCCTAGAGATATCAGAGCGTCCATCCGTCAGAACCAGAACCACTTTGTTTTCTTTTTTCATTTCATTGAGAGTTGCTGTCAGAGAAAATTCAAGGGCCTCTCCTGTGTAAGTGGACTCAGCTATCCAGCGCAGGTCTCTCACCGCTCTGCACACACAGACAGGAAAGTGTGAGGAATTTTCAAAAAACACAACAACAAAAGATTTCTGACTTTTAGCAGTTGTTGCTGATATTTATGTCTGTAAACAGCCTTAAATTAATGGCTGTGTAAACGTTTGCAATAGCCGTGGATTAAAAAAGCCCCAAATTGCTTTAAACTGAGACACTCTGGTCATGGCCGCACCAGAATTAGTACAATTCTCCTGTACTCCCGTATTACTCCCTATCAGTCACACTTTTTTTCATAGTCTGGCTGGTCCTGCGACTTATACTCCGGAGCGACTTATATACCAAATTATGTATACCGCGCTGCTGCGGACCGGCTCCGGACCAGGAATAAGCTCCTCTGCCCCGCCATCACCTGCCGGAGACTGTGGCGCGCTGCTGAAGGCCGGGCAGCTCCGGCCCAGTAATGAGCTCCCCTGTCCCGCTGGAAGGGTTTCAAACACCGCCAACACCTGCTGCAGCCTGTGGCGGGGTGCTGCGGGTCGGCTCCGACCCAGGATTGAGCTCTCCTCGCCCGCTGGGAGGGTTTCAAACACCGCCATCCTCTGCTGGAGACCGTGGTGCGCTGCTGCGCCCTGGCAGTTTATTATGTTATTGTTACCGGTACTCGTCTTGCAATGTGAAATGCTTGGTCTCAGATTTTGTAAGAAAAATAATAAAATTTCCCCCCAAAATGCGACTTATATTTGTTTTTTTTTTCTTCTTCATTATACATTTTATGGCTGGTGCGACTTATATTCCGGAACATACGGTAAGTAATAATATTTTGTGTGGATCTTTTCCCTTCATGGCTTATTTAGTATCTGTTGGTTTATGTTAGCATTAGCTTGCTGTTAGCACTAGCTACAGCAGGCTATGGCAAGGCTAGCAGGGAGAAGCGGGAAACTTATTTTGTGTTGCTTTAAGTTTGCATAAAATATTGAACATTTGTATTTATTCTTGCTACATTTTTTTTACTTTCCTGAATTTTTGTCCTTACAAGCAACTTATCTGTATTTAGTTGCTGTCATTTACTCTTTAAAGGACAGAAATTATACTTATTTTCTACAATCAAAGGGTTCAAATGAAGGCAACTGGACTTCTTTGGTTTCTTCAAGACGTTGCCTTCATTTGAACCTTTTGGATTACCATGACCTGGATGACTGAAAACCTTCACCGGCATTTTTTCTACAACGCTAAAAGTAATTCATTGATGAATTTACTACTTTTGTCAAGATAATTTCACATTTCTTGGAAGTGCTTGTGTTGTTTTGTTTGGCTAAGAGGAGCACATCTTACATCAGTCTGGCTTACATAGTAAATGTGTCAGACTCAGGAAAAGCACAATGTCACTGATTGTGAATTACACAACATGCCACATAAGAAAACATGCTGAAAAACGACTTAATCAGAGAAAAGCTGCACGCAGACAGGAAGCTTAGCGAATGTGTGTGAGCTCACTGTTTAAAATCGGTCAGGTTACTGGTTAGTTTCACCACTTCTTGGGTTTTCCATCCACTGTACTGGACCACACTGACACTGGAATGGTTAGCTGAAAACTGGAGAGAAAAACACAGCTTGGTGAGTTTGTGTTATGGCCTCTAAGTGTGTGTGTTTGTTTAATTCTGTCAACATTTCAGTGCCCCACCCAATCTGACTAATTGCATCCAAAATGGAAAGAGGAGAGTCATTGGAGAGACATAGAAGCACCATCCAGATGCCAAGCCAACATCTTTCGCTCACACTTTCTGTTTTGAGAGTCTGATCTTGAGGTGAACGTTTTGTCACCCCTCAGAAAAACAGTCTCAGAAGAATTTAGATAAACAACTCAGTCCGCAAAAGGTCAGACAGCTGTCATCCCACAGAAGCTGGGCAAAGATAGAAAGAAAGGAAAACAGTGATGTAGAACATCAAAAGAATCAATTCAGGGAAGACTACCTTGACTTGGTGGTCTTTAATCAGTCTGTCAATAACGGTGATGATGAAATCTTTGGCCAGAGCAAAGTTTGTGGAACCGATACTCTCTGAGCTGTCCACGATGAACGCCAAGTCCACGGGAGAACACTTACACTCTAAAGACACAAAAAACACACACAGTGGAAAAAATAACCCAGAATGGCCTCAGAGGATAAAGAATAATTTAGAAAAAAATCTCCAAACTTACCACAGCAGGCTGGGAGGTGAATAGAGGAGCATGAAAGAAAGCACAAGTCAGAGTGAATTTAGTGGGAAGATGATAACACGACACGACACAACCTGGTTTCAAATGTTTCACTCCACATCAGAGTTGCAAAGGGCTTAATGGCGGAGCACACACGTGGCTCCATTATACTAAGAGGGAAGAGACTTACAGCAGAGCTTCATGATGATATCCAGAAGCTCGCATTCCTGCGGAGAGAGGTGGAGTACAGTACGGAAACACACTGTTACTGCACTTAATATTCCAACACAAAACGCGCGCCGGTCCCCGA